GAAGTCTCGTGGAGGTTTGACAGTGCCTTCAAAGAAAGTCATTGAAGTGTGTTTTGTGTGTGAAAAACATTTTCGATGGCATGTGTCACCTGCCTGTGCAGGGGGTGTGACATTGTCAATTGAGAAATGTCACAAATTAGTGCAATCTGTTTTGAATTTCTTCTTACATATATGCCTAAAATTTCAAATGTTCTAGTAATTTTTGAAGACTCTTAGATTAAAACTGTATTTTGAAAAATATTGATAAAGTGTCTGGGTGTTTTAAAGGTGCCCCTCCCTCCTCGCATTTTTTGGGGGGAGGGTATCCTTTTTTGGGTGTTTTTTTTTGTGTTTTTTTTGGGGGGGGGTGGTTCATTTCCACCATCATACTTCACTCTCATCTGCCTTGCCCTCACCTTCCTCATTCTTCGCCCATCCCATCCCACCCTCACTCCATCTTTTGTGGAATCATTTTCAATTTAGTTAGAAATATATTTTGTTCTATTTTTTAAAGTAAAAGAGTCTACGTTTTTGTAAAAATAATTTCAGTGATGACATCATTTTGCACTTATGAAGTTCTATGACCGAACATTCCTGCAAATTTTCTTATCCCGTTAATATTTTTGTTTTCATCCCTGTTATCCCAATTTGTTCTCTAAAATATGTAATAAATAATTATCTTACCATCACAATGTGTAGTACAAGACACTGTAAATGTTCGACTAAGTGAGCTGGTAATTTGATGCAAGTAAGATTTCTTACCATCCTTATTATATAATTCCTGTACGTGAGTCCTTGTAATGCTGAAATTAACATTGACAAAGAAATTTCGAGAGACAATATAGTCCGAGCAGCTTGTTTTTTTAATGAGATTAACGCCGCGTACGCTGCTTTGTTTTGAACTTACAAAGATGGCGGCAGCCCCGATAAACTCCGGCCCGTCAGCTTCAACTTGGTTGGAACCGTTGAGCGGGCGACGCAACGTTAGGGTCTCTCCCTATATAGCTACTCCAAGGCGCCCATGGCTATTTCTTGCTCCGCTTGTCAAAGGGAAATAGCTCACGTATATTTTCCCCTTACAATTGTCACCCCCGACTTCTTGCATCTTGCTCAATTTATTTTTATTTATAATTTGTGTGTGCGTGGGGGG